TGTGTGTGTGTGTGTGTGTGTGTGTGTTGGCGACAGGGAGGAAAAAAAAAGGGGCTCGAGCCAAGCATGGGCGGCGGATTGGCTGCGCCGCGGCCCGAGTCGAAGGGCAGAGCGAAATCGTGCATTCGTGCATCCAAGATCCAAGCACCGACCGACCGACCGAACCCACGCAACAGATCACATCCTTGCAAGTTCCAAAATTTCCAGCGCACCCCACCGCGATCTGCGTTGGCAGCAGCAGACGCCAAAAAAGTCCGAATTCAAACAGGGGCGACGTGCCTGGCCATCGAGAACAACACAACGCGCGCGCTCGCAGCACTCGCTCGCCCCTCGCCTGCCGATCCGGTGTTGGATTCCAGTCAAACCCTCTCCCAGTTCGGCACTGGCCAACTGCCTCGCCGAGTCGCCCGCGCGTTCTGTCAGGCTGCCACGCAGATCATCCCGCTCCTCCTCAGGCCTCTTGTCTCTCTTGGCGATTCGAAAGATCAACACTTTCTCGCTCTTTCTTTTTCGCGCCGGTGCGTTGTGCACATGCGGCGTAGCGCTGCTGGCTCCGCTGTGCAATTACCGCATGGATCGATATGGCACCCGCGCCTCGAAGCGGCGCCGGCTTACCACCGCCTGGGCCAGCCAAGTCAGGCCGTTGCTCTTGCGGTTCGCTTCATCCAAGCTCTGGCTTCCAGAGCGCAAGGCTGCAGAGAGCTTCTTCAAGCTTTTACGGGCCTAGGGATTCCGACTCCCGGGCTGTGCACACGCGCCTTTCCGTGTATGTGCCTTAGCCGGCCCTGTTCCGACTCGGCAGTGCCGCTTCTCGTCGTTGCTCCCCGCGCCCTTCATGCTGTAGAATGGCTGAGCGGCTTGCAAAGACTCGCCAAGCCTTAGGCAGTGCCGTATCACTGTATGATGCCATGAGACGTCTACGTCTCCGAATCTCCGGCTGAGCATTCGCAAGATCCGAGCGGAAATGCCGCCCGCCCGAATTCACTTGTTCCACAGAGACGCAAGCGTGCTTGGCCGCCCGACTCGATGCAGCTGGCGTCCTGGTTCAAGCACGGCTTGGCGACCCACCTCAGCGTCGAGTGAATGACAATGTCATCTGCTCGCCGATTCGCCTCATGCCAGGCCGCCAGACGTTCGCCTGCGACCACAGCACCGGCTGACCTTGAATTTTAAACAACTTCAGGCGAAAAATGCCCGTGGCCTTCCGAATGCATGCGAGCAACCGCCGGCCGTCCACCCATCACCAAGTGCACCTTCTCGATGCCATTCGAAAGCGAAAGCGCAGGTAGTGAGCAAGCCGTGTCGCAGCACATTTTGCCAGAGCCCTCTCGAATCAGTGCTCTATTCAGCAGGCAGCCGTCGAATTCATCGGCAGCAGATCGGGGTGACCATCCATCCCGATCGCGCGATGCGTGTTGGAGTCCTGGCACTGCGAGCCCGCGCGCGACGCAGGGTATGGCCGCCGTGTGGAGGCTTTCCGACGCAGACGTGTCGCGAGGCGAGTCGGGCGCGCCGCACGGCAGCCAAAAAGTGTTGGACCCGCCCGCTCTTCTTCGGGTCGCTCCGCAGCTGCGTGAAGAGCCCACTGACACATTGAAGGGCAGAGCTCCGGCTTCTCTTTTTCTCACAGCTGTCCTTTCTCGCCACCTTTATCATCGGCCCTTCCGATGCAGCAAAGCTGAGCACGTCAGCTCTGCAGACTTGCCGCCATCGACAGACGCAAGAGCTTCCACCCCCAACGCCCAACAAAATGCCGAGCCAGTCTGGATAGGGCAAGCTCCAGCGCTCTTGATCTTCGCGCCTGCCTGCCAACTACAACCTCACGATCCAGGAAAGCTGTCTTCCATCCGTATCGAAAGGGCGACTGCGTCAGACACGACAATGTCCGGACTCGACGGTCTGGCGACAGCCCAGATCGCTCCCACCTTGGAAGACGAATTAGCGGCCACCCAGCAGTCCTTGCTAGAGGAGCTTCACACGATCAGCGAGGAAGGTATTCTGGATCACAACCAGCGCGACTCAAAAGCAGGCGAGGCAAATGCAGCCGAGCATTCGGACGCCCTCACTTCGCAGACGCTGACCGAGCACCAGGCTGCCGCGCCCGCAGAGGAATTGGAGCAGACAAGCTGCTCCGCTGCCTCTCAGAATGGCATACTGCCTTCGCAGCAAGCCGAAGTCGGCCTCGAGACTGTACAAACTTGCTTGCAGCAAGGCAACGGTGTAGAGACGGCGGCGTCTGACGCGCTTCTGCATTCAGGCGACGCGCAGGTCGAGTCTGTTGTCCAGGCCAACACTGCCGCACCAGAACCAAAAAGTGCGCAAGTGCAGCAGGATCGCAAGGCAGACGTCGTAGCTCTGGTCCAGACTACCGACGGTACAGCGGAACAATCCAACGACGCCTCACTGCCAGCGACTCACGATGCGGCGATGGAGACTGCCACCACAACCATGGACATTTCCACCGACATTCTCTTGGATCACGATCACCTCTTCGATGGGATCGAAGCAGACGTGTTTGGCGATATCGAACTCAGCCCGCCCGTGCGGAGACATGTCAGCCTTCCACAAGTTGGCGTGCCCAGCCAGATCAGAAGCATGCACGCTCCTCCCTCGCCAACTCGTCCTTCTCAGAGCAAAGCATCCCAGACTGCAGCCGGGCGAATTCGCGGTGCTCTCGAGGACGACCCGTTCTTCCCCGAGCCATCGGAAGCTGAAGCCGGGCAGACGACGTCGTGCTTCGAACCTTCGTTTGCCGGCTTCAAGACGGGTCACGGCAAAAAGGTGCAGCTGAGCGAGAAAGCCCTCGAAGTCGCGCGTAAGCTCCTCCTCGATCTCGAGGAGAGTCAGGAACTGCTTCCGCCGCCGAGAACATCACAGGCGCTGTCGCAACCGTCGCAGTCGCAACAGTCTCCGTCGCGGGCGCCGCCAGCGAGGGCAGCTCACCTTGCTGCAAGGACGCCGATGCAGGAGGTCCCATCCAAGCAGAATGTGCCCGCGGTCGAGAGCCGGGAGGTCCCGCCACCACTAAAAAGCGCACCAGGTCCATCGCAGACCACCGGGACAGCCGTTGGTTCGAGCCGTCAGATCGATCGCCCAGCGGTTGCCACCCCGCAGCCATTCAGAAGTGCGCATCTGGTCGGCAGTCTAACTCCAGGCACACCCTTGCGTATATCGGGCTCCGCCTCGCTCGCGCGCTTCACAACGCCACAGCCGACCAAAAAGGTCTCACTCGGCGTGCTTCCCCGCGTCGGCATGAGCGCTAGCTCGAGCCGCAAGAGGCCCGTTCCCAGGTTCGTGACGCCTTTCAAGGCCGGCAAACGGCCAAAAGCTGAAGAGCTTGCAGATGCTTCTTCGCCGGTCAGAAGGCTGGACTACGGCACGGTCGGCGCATCGACGCCCACCTTTTCATCAGCTCGCCAGTATCCGGCGACACGCAGCACACGGCCTGTCAATCCTGTCAATCCGGACGCAGTGTCTGTCTTTCGATTGCAATCCGCTGCGCCTCGACAGCGTCTGGCCGACGTCGGGCGGCCGGAGCAGTATTCGTCCATGCAGCTGATTGCCAGAGGCGTTCCAGACGAGATCATCGTCATCTTGAACGACGCATCGCGCGGAGCGCAGTACGCTTTCGAAGGTCCCGATGGATCCTTACTCCAGCAGCAGGACGCCCTTGACGAACTCGTTGCTCGAGGCTGTAGCGGTGCTAAGCTGCCGTGGGTGCAGAATCATTGGACGCTGATCCTGTGGAAGCTTGCTGCCATGGTGCGACTGGACCCCAGCTGCGCACACGAGCGATGGAGCTGGCACGAGCTCATCCGCCAGCTGCTGTACCGCTACGAGCGCGAGGTGCATCTTGCGCAGCGATCGTGTCTCAAGCGGATCCAGGAGCACGACTCGTCGCCATCGCGTCCGATGGTGCTGCTCGTGGCCAAGATCCTCGAGGAAGAGACCGAGGTGCAGGATCGCTCGGGCCAGGTTGTGGTGCGCAAGGAAACCATCCTCGAGCTCTCTGATGGCTGGTATCGCGTCCAGGCGCAGGTCGACGGTGTGCTGGCACAGGCATGCCAGCGCGGCCGGCTGCGCGTGGGGCACAAGCTCGCCGTGATGGGCGCAACGCTGGATGCGCAGGGGGAGGGCAACGAGGTGCTGGCGGCCTACCACTTGTCGACGCTCGTGCTCAGCGGCAATTCTACCTCGCTGGCGAGCTGGGATGCGCGGCTCGGGTTTGCGCCGCAGCCATTCTTTGCGAGCCTTCGCAGCTTGACTCCGGAAGGAGGTGTGGTGTCTCTGATGGATGTCGTCATCACCAAGGTGTTTCCGCTCGCGTACGTGGATGCGGAGCGGACGACGGACCGATCCGCTGCACCGCGCGGCGAGCAGGAGGAAGCCGAGCAGCTCGAGGCGTGGAAGCAGAGGCGCGAAGATGCCATGGCGCAGCTTGAGCTCCAGCTCGAGTCGGAGCAACGGCGGTTGTACGATCTTGTCGAGGCGATCGGAGATCTTGCGAGCGACGCCTTTCTCCCCTCCCTGCCGGAGGATCCGTCGGGTCGATTGGAGGCGGTGGCAGCCACGCTGTTCGACCAGCTGCAGGCGCGCCCGAACCCGGCACAGGCGGTCAAGGAGCTCGTCATCCAGCCTGGGCACGCGAGCACGGTGCCGTGGCTGCACAGTATGGCCAAGGCGGCGCTGGTGGCCCAAGATGGCGGTGCGGCGCGGCTGGGCGCACATCTGGACCGGCTGTGTCCGCCGCGCAAGGTGCGCGGCTTTCGCGTGGTGCGCTTCCGCGATGCAAGGCTGCCGGAGCCACCCGCGCCGCCCGCCACGAACGCGGGTGCGGCAGGGAAGAAACGCAACGCGCACGCACGTACCGTCCAGCTGACCGTGTGGGATGCGGTGCAGCTCGGCGACGAGCTGCAGGAAGGCCGCCGCTTCTGGGTGACGAATCTGGTGCCGACGTCCAAAACGGCCTGGCGCAAGCCCGACGAGGCCGCCGATGTGTTTCTCGCCACGCGCCGCGACACCAAGTGGCGCGCTGTGCGATAGTCGTAGCTCAACATTGCCTCATTTCTTTTGCATGCAACCACAGTCCTGATCGCTCGTAGTCGTTGTGTGAGAGTGTGTGGGGGAGGGAGGGTCAAGGAATGAAAATTGCAGAGGTGAGAGGAGCGGTTGGGGGGGGGGGGGGGGGGAAAAA